TCTACTGAATGAATGAATGAACGAACGAGTAAATGACTGAATGGACGAATTCGAGTCCTCACTGTGCCATCTCCGGGAAGCTGCCAGTCACCCTGGGCCTCGGTTTCCCCAACTGCTCTGCTCAGGAGACATGAAGACCTGAGTAATCCCAGGTGCGGGGCTCCTCGGGGCGAAACTGAGCGGGCGGTACCTCGGCGCTCCCCGCGGCTGGGTAGGGGTTGGTGTCAGGGGCGGAGCTAGGGCTCCCTCGGGGCGGAGCCATTGGCCGCGCCCACCGCCACCCGGCAGTAGTTGTGGAGGTCAGCCCCGCCCGCTTCCTCTTTCCTTCGGCCTCTTTCCATCGGCGCGGCGGCTGGTTGTGTAGACATGGTGAGGGCGGTGGAATCGGGTGCCATCCCCGCGCTGTGGGGCTCGGGGCCTGGGGTGGGGAGCTCGAGGTGAGCACTGGGGTTCCATCTGTCAGCCGGGCCTGTAAGGCGCCGTGCCGAGTGGCCTAGCGCCGCCACAGCAGGTCTCCCGCCCTCTCCCTTGTTGGCCTGGGCCTGGAGAGGTGAGCCCGCGCTGCCGACGCCTCCGTCTTTCTGTCTGCTGAATGGGAGCAGCGGCCCAGCCTCGTAGCGGACCTGGGCGAGGGCGCGCCTGCGGGGGCCTCAGTTTCCTTGCCCAAGGCACAGACTAGGGGAGGGATGCTGGGCTCGCAGCGCGTCCTCCGGGGGCTGGCCACGACGCAGGCGGAAGGGAGGATGGCCGCTGGGAAGGGGAGACAGCCTTGCTGGGTGTTTGACCCAAACCCTTGATTGCGCACAGGCCAAAATTAAGGCTCGAGACCTTCGCGGCAAGAAGAAGGAGGAGCTGCTTAAACAGCTGGAAGACCTGAAGGTGGAATTGTCCCAGCTGCGCGTCGCCAAAGTGACAGGCGGGGCGGCCTCCAAACTCTCCAAGATGTGAGTGAGGGGCGGCAGGACCACGGTTTTCTGGGTGTGGGGGACACCTGTGCGTTGGAAGCATTTGTAGAGTTTTCGAAGCTGGCTAAAGGAAATGTCCGTTTCATGGACCCGTGGGTTGGAATGTCATGCCCTTCCTAACCAGCCTTTCCAGGCTCACCTTGCTCACACCCAGCCACATGGGAGACCTGCTGTGTGGTTTTCTTCTTCTCTGCATTAGACCATTTTGTCCTTTTGCCTGGAGCGCCCTTGCTCAGCTTCTCTGGTTGAAGAAAGAACAGGTTGTCCCTGAAGCCCCTTTTTTATTTTTTTAATCTCTTTTTAATGTTTATTTACTTTTGAGAGAGAGCAGGGGAGAGACAGAGAAAGCGGGAGACACAGAATCCCAAGCAGGCTCCAGACTCAGAGCTGTCAGCACAGAGCCCGAGGCAGGACTTGAACCCAGCAACTGTGAGATCATGACCTGAGCCAAAGTCAGATTGTTAACGGACTAAGCCACCTAGGGCCCCCCCTGAAGCCCCATTTTAACGCTGCCTTGAAAAGCCTAACCGGGGGCGCCTGGGTGGCTCAGTCGGTTGAGCGTCCGACTTCGGCTCGAGTCATGATCTCACGGTCCGTGAGTTCGAGCCCCTCATCGGGCTCTGTGCTGACAGCTCAGAGCCTGGAGCCCGTTTCAGATTCTGTGTCTCCCTCTCTCTCTGCCCCTCCCCTGTTCATGCTCTGTCTCTCTCTGTCTCAAAAATAAATGAACATTAAAAAAAATTTAAAAAGAAAAGCCTAACCGGACGCTTTTCTCCCACCAGCACTTGGTCCTCCCTGCCCTCCTCCCTCACTTGGTAGATCAGTGCCTTGTCCCCACCTCTCCCTTAAGTTGGAGTTAACTTAGTTACATGAATCAAGAATCAGGACTTGTGAAAGGAACATGGGTTTGTAGTCTGTGGAACTGGGCACAGATTCCACTTTTGCCACATCCTACCCGATGGGTGTGCTGACTCACCACTCAGAGTTGGTTTGTTGTTTTTGTTTGTTTTGCTTTTCTGTAAAGTGGGCCCCCAACAACCAACTCGCAGTGCTGGGAGGGGATTGGATGAGTTGGGGAACACGCAAGCAAGTTGCATGCTGAGCCCTCAAGACTGTTTACCAGCTGTCTACTGAGTGGCCCTCCTTCATCCCCCAGCATGCCTCGTGTTCAACATTGACCACAAATCACTTATTCCCAGCTTCTTCCTATGTTCATCCTCTCCCCCCATGGCCTACGTCTTGTTGCTCCCCCCCAAGTGGCTCTTCCTATGACTCCTTAAACTTGTTGCCCAGCTTGTGGCATGATTTCCCATAGTCGACTTTGACTTTGGTTAGGTCTTTGTAGCTGTCAGGATATATGGCCTGGGCTGGAAGGTCTTTCCTGATCTCCCTTCTGCTTCTGCTCAATGAATGAATACTTCACAGCTTCTCAGAAGCACTGGGCATGCCAGCCCTTCCCTGTCCCCACTCGAGGGATACCAATCTTCTAGAGTCTTCAGACCTCACCCCCAGAACCACCTTCTGGGCTGGGTTAGGCACCTCTTGGGTGAATATGGACAAGCTGGTGGGGAATAATACCACTCCTGTCTTAGGACATCTGGGGTCCTGAATGAAATGCCTGGGGGGGGGGGGCACTGTATCTCTCCACCATCTTCACTGATGTCTCTGTTTTGTAGCCGGGTTGTTCGTAAATCCATCGCCCGCGTTCTCACCGTCATCAACCAGACTCAGAAAGAGAACCTCAGGAAATTCTACAAGGTGAGTCTGGGCTGGGGGGAGTCGGAGGGATGCTTAGCTGCAGGGGCAAAGTTCCAGCTCTTCCTTGGCCAAAAGGGTGGTATGAAGAGGCTCTTTTCTGCTGGGGTGCATGGCAGCGGGCTTTCCAGAGCCTTCCCAACTTGTAGCTGGTTTCGCTTCCAAACCAGCATCTTGGCACTAGTCTGCATTTCCTCGGGGCTGCACTGGTCAAGAAATCAGCGTGGTGAGAATCTGGCTGGAGCCTTGGGTTTTGAATCCAGCCTCACCAGCTGAGTAAGTCTGAGCAAGGTTATCAGGGCTCAAGCTGTGAAGCAGAACCAGTTGGAAACTTCATGTGTGTGTAGACATGCACTTGACTTATTACAGAGAATTGGCTTATGTGATCGTGGGGGCTAGCTGATAAGTCCAAAATCAGCAGTGCTGGCTATCAGGAAGAGAAGGTCATGGGCAGGCCGGAACTCACGTGACACAGGTTGAAGCCCCTGTCCTCCGGTGGGATTTCTTGGGGAGATTCTCAGCCCTGCTTTAAAGCCTTTCAGCTGAAAGCCGCCATGTGTTCCTGGGTTAGCTGCCCCCAGGGATAGTAGCATGTGCGGGGGGCCAGGCAAGGGTGCCGCCATCCCTGAATGTGTGTACATTGTGTGTGTGGGAATGTTTTCTGAGAATTGGGCTCGAAACTTTGATGTTTTTTATTTTTGAGAGAGACCGTGGGGGAGGGGCAGAGAGGGAGACACAGAATCGGAAGCAGGCTCCAGGTTCTGAGCTGTCAGCACAGAGCCCGACGCGGGGCTCAAACTCATGAACTCTGAGGTCATGTCCCGAGCCGGAGTCGGACACTTAACCGATTAAGTCACCCAGGCGCCCCAGGCTTGAAACTTTGATCAGGCTCCAGAGGGACCATGGCAGAGGTGGTGGGTGGTCTTCCAGTGAGTTCACCCCCTGCCAGGCACCACTCAGTCCAGGGGTGGTGGGGGGAAGGGTCAAGGTGAGGTCTCTGTCTCCAGGTTAGTGCTATCGGCATGGTCACAGATGGCCACATGTGGCTGTGGTGGCCGAAGGCCTGGATTTGTAACATAGGCCTCGTGTGGCCAGCGCCTGTATTGGCCAGCAGAGCTCTGAGGGCTTAGGAAACTTGAAATGGATGAGGCCCTGACCTGTGCTGTGGATAACATGGATATGGGTGGACAGAGACTCATGCCTCCAAATCCCCCGTCTTCGAGCTTACCCTCCTCTGCGCAGCTCGTTTCTGTTTCTGCACTTCTCTGCCCTGAGGCTGTTCCCCCTCTTAGCTCTCACACCACTGCCCTGTGCCTGTACCGCCTCTGGACTATTGGCAGTTCCCAGAAAGCGCCTGAGCCGGCATTCTTCAGGGTATTTGTGCGCCCCGTTTTCTCCCCCTTGGAACTGGTGTTCGCTCCGATTGCTTGCTTTGTAGGCTATTTCCAGTCATTAGGTGGAAGCTTCCTTTATCTTTTCTCCTCTTCCCCACCGATGGGCCACTTGTTAGCTGCCCGGTCTTACCCACTGGGCTGGGAGCTCCTTAAGCAGGTCTGATTCTTCACCAAGGTGGCACCCAGCACAGGGCCTCAGTCCCCTACTGGGCTGGTCCTATACCTCCTCATGCTCAGGTCTACACGTTAACCTTCGCATCCCAGTGGCCCCCTTCAGGCACTTCCAGCATCTTCCCCGTGCCCCCTAGCCGCTTAGTTCCAGCCTCGGAGGCTTCGTTAACTGCCGCAGTAGCTCCAAAACTCTGGTGCTCAGATTCCCCGCGCTCTCCCATCACCCAGGGTAAGAAGTATAAGCCCCTGGATCTGCGGCCCAAGAAGACACGTGCCATGCGCCGCCGGCTAAACAAGCACGAGGAAAACCTGAAGACCAAGAAGCAGCAGCGGAAGGAGCGGCTGTACCCACTGCGGAAGTATGCGGTCAAGGCCTGAGCACCGGCATCAATAAAACACAAACAAACTGGCTGGCATTGCTTCATGTTTGCGGGTGTTTCAGCGAACCGTGCTGGAGAGGTGGGCTGGCGTGCCCTGGTTGTGGTTACTAGGGGCCTGGGGGCTTTGGCAGGCCTGCCTGTGGCTGTTGGCAGCCCCGGCGCGGGACCATGACCAATCCTGGTCACAGGGATCTGTTGGGTGCTCTGTTAAGGTTACTTTGGGCCTGTGGCCTGCAGCTGCCCTCACTGTCCTTTCAGGGGCTCGTTCTGCCAGGTCCCATGCGCCCCGGGCAGGGAGAGACAGGCTTGAGATCAAAGAGCCATTTGTGGTGATGTTATATCTGAGAGGCTCTGGGTGATTTGATCGTGCATCGGAGTTGGCATCTTGCCTGATCAGCAGCTCCAGACACTAAGAGTTTCCCATCTGGGGTGAAGGCACAGGCGTGGGCCACATCCAGGACTCCCTGCCGAAAGCACTTCACTGGGCTCTGGGAACGCGAGTCCTGCCTGCCCCCAACCTCCCCTGGCAGGCCTTTTCCTACACCCTTGGGTGCTACGTCCGTGGACCTTACTTACCTTCAGAGTCTCCATGCACTTTCCTGTGTTGCAGTCCCAGACTTTGACCTGGAAAATAATATAAGCAGAAGGGAAGGAGGCCTCACCCCACAAGTCTGGCATCCTTGAAACCACTTTGGAGTGAGTCCCAGCCAACCTCTTTACCTCCTGGTCTGGGTTTTGTTGTCTGTGAGGTGTATTTAACATGCCCAGCATAAAAATCTGATGCGAAAATTCAGCGCAGTGCAGTTTCCTTTTCCCTGAAGCTATGGTGTGTCTTAGAAATGTTATTGTCACTAGCAGCTTCTGGGCCAGTTTAGACCTTAGTGCCCAGAAGTGGTGGGCACCTGGGTTCTGTCCTTGTCACCTTCCTGTTAGGGGCAAATAGGATGTGGCCCTTTCTAGACCATGCTGAGGGCTCTGGTAAAGGAGGATGTTGGGTTAGGAGTTCGCCAGGAGGACAGGCCTGGGGCGGGCGGCAGGGCGGGTGGTGGGCTTACCATATGGGAGTAGCCAGCGCTGGCTAGCTGTGACCCATCAGGGGAGAAAGCTATGCTCTTCACCCAGGTGACATGGCCCTTGAGCTGAACAAGCAGGTTTCTGGTGGAAGGCTTCCAGATGTGGATGGTCTTGTCCCAGGAGCCGGAAGCCTGGACAGCAAACAGCTCTAAGCCCATGGGTTTGGAGCCAGCAGAGGGCCAGCCTGGAACCCAGGGCGACCTAGCTCACCAGGAGGCCGGATGCTGAGTAGCACAGGCAGCTGATGTTGCCACTGTGGCCCTCCAGCTCTTGGTGGGAGGTCACTGGGGTCCCCGTCCGCAGGTCCCAGATGCAGATAGCAGAGTCCCAGGAGCCAGTGGCCTGCAGACATCTGCTGTGAGCATGAACTAGCGACCCCATGCCCACCTTTGTGGTTCTTAGGCTGGCCAGGCTCAGGAAGCAGGCAGTTTGTGAGCCCTGCTGAATTCCCCATCTTACAGATAAGGGGAGTGGCTCAGAAGAGCAGAGTCACCCAGTTAAGGTCTGAAATTCTGACCACTGCTCAGCCCCCAAGCAAGTAAGTGGATGTGGCTCACCACGCAGTCTGAGCTGGGTGCGAAGTCACTGCTCTGGACACAGTCTCGGTGCCCTCCTAAGTGGCGCAGCATCTGGCCAGACTGCAGGAGAGAGCCCTGAGCTTTGGAGGGTAGCCCAGAGCCTTGTTGTGCTAGGTTCTAGGCCTCAGATGGGTCAGACCAAGGAGGGGTCAGACCTCCCCTCCTTGCAGGGCTGCCTGGGTAATGTGATCACACAGGGTCTGGGGAGGTTACCTGGTCCTTGAGGGGAGGAGAGGGCAATCCAGGCCGCATGACCCTCACAGGCAGAGATCTTGAGGCACAGAGGGCTGGTGTGGCTGGGGATGTAGCTGCAGCCAGATGTAAGGGGGTCTTGGATGCCAGGTGTGGGCATGGGCAGTGGGGAAAATGGAACAACCTTTCTGGGGCACTGGGGTGGGGGTTGTCTCCTCCAGGTCCCAGGTCTCGCTCTGGCCGCCCCTCCACATACCTGCACCTCCCAGAGCACCACCCGCTTGTCCCAGCCACCCGATGCCAGCTGCTTTGAGTCAGGGCTAAAGCTAACCGTCTCCACGCTCCTCTGGTGACCTGGTGGAACAGGATACGGCAGGGTCTAGAAAGGAACATAGGCCTGGCTGCTTGGTCCTAGTCCCACCCAGTGCACTCACCCTTCAGGACATGCAGACACTTGGCTTCTGCTACATCCCACAGGCGGATGGTACAGTCACCAGAGGTCGTGGCAAAAAGGTGGCCATCAGGGGAGAAGCGGCAGAACTTGATGGGGCCTGGGTAAGCAGGCATGGTCAGGGAATGGGGTGCTGCCTTCCACCTTGCAGGACAACCCCTGCTAATCTCTCTAGCCTTATCGCCTACCTACCCTCCTCCCTCCTAACTCTCTCACCCTCCAGCCATCTAGCAAGTTGAGCTTCCATGACTTGACCTGAAACACCCAACTTTATTTTGCCCATTTGTAAAATCAATGCCAAAAGCAAATGCAGGCACCTTCCAGAAACTTTTTGAGAGCCCAGCCTGGGTTTGTTACCTCCTTTGAGCTCCCCAGCCCTGGACTTTACCTATTAACATTAGTCGATCTGCCCTGTAATTACCAGATTTTTTTTCTTGTTTCAGTAATAATTATAATAGTTCTATCTACTGAGTTCTTACTGGGCGTGAGGCACTTTGCATTATCTCATCCCACAGGGGAGCAACTGTTCCCATTCTAAAGAGAAGGAAATAGAGGCTCAGAGAGATGACATAACGATCACAAAGTGGTTAAACAGCTGAACACTCTGCTAAGTGAAATAAGTCATGAAAAGGAAGGTACTTAGAGTAAATTCATTGAGCTAGAAAAAATGGTGGTTGTCAGACTGGAGGAAGATGAATGGGGAGTTTAATGGGTATAGATAGAGTTTCCATTTTGCAAGATGAGTTCAGGAGACTAGCTGCACAATGAACATACGTAGCACTACTGAACTGAACATTTAAAAATGGTTAAGATGGTAAATATATTTTTAAACAATTTTTAACAGTAGGAATGGGGACCTGACTCTCAACCAGTAGAGCATGTGACTCTTGATCTTGGTTGTGAGTTTGAGTCCCATGTTGGGTGTAGAGACTACCAATTTTTAATTAAAACTTAAAAAAAAACAAAAAAAAAACAGCAATAGGGTCTGAGTCCAGGTCTGTCAGAGGCCCTGTGTCCTTGCCCTCCTGCCCCAGCCCTGCCCAGGCTGTCTGGCATGAATGCCCCGCTCAGATGTCAGAGTGATAGGCTCTGCAGAATGCCAGACAGACCCGTGGGCCTTGGTCTCCACATCCAGCCTCAGGAGCCCCACCTGCATGGCCACCCAGCCTCCACAGCAGCCGCCCACTCTGGGTCTCCCAGCCGTACACATAGCCATCCTCAGAGGCTGTGAGCAGCCTCTGGCCGTCGGGAGAGAAGGCTGAGGAGTTGACCTGGAAGGAGAGCACAGAAGTAGTCCCATCCTGGGGCAAGAGACACCTGTCTGCTCATGTCTGACCCCAGACTCCTGGGCCAGCCCCAAACACTGCCCCACCGGCCTGGGGTTGGAGCTTAGACTTCAAGCCTCACTCTACAACTAGAGCTCAGAATGCAGGAACCACCCTTGCAGTCAGAGCCAAGAGCTTGGAGCCTTCTCTGGAATCCTGTAAAACCTGGGCCTGAAGCCCGAGAGTCCTCACTGAAGGTAGAGGCTGGAGCCTTCTCTAGAACCAGAGCCAAGAGCCCATTCTAGAGCTGGAGCCCAGAACTAGGAGTTCAAAATCTAAGCCCCGAATTCATTTTAAAGCCAAAGTCAAAACACTGGTGTCATCCAGGAGTTTGCACCCTCTCTAGAACCAAGAGCTTAGAATCTGTAGCCCATTCTGGAGCTGGGTGGGGGCCAGAGAACACTAGACAGAATAAGGAACCACTCTAGACCCAGAGCCAGGACCCTAGAGTCAGCAGAGCCCAACCGGACCTTACCTCCCCGCGGTGCTGGCCGAAGAATTTCACTCTCCCCACGGCCAGCCTTCCTGCGGACCCGCTGTTCATGGGCCCCAGGGCGCTGGTCCAGCCAGCCGGCCCCACTTGAGGTGGAGTGGATAGAGGAAGCTGTGTACAAGGGGTCTCCATGGAAATCGGGGCGGAGCACGCAGCCACTGCGGGGTCTCTGGGAAGCCACGAGGAGAGACAGGTTGGGAGAGACTGTTCTCAGCCCCCCGGGGGGGGGGGGGGGGGCGCCACGGCGGGCAGGACCGTCCGCGGCTCTGAGAAGGTACTTACTTCCCCTACTGGCCGCTGCCAGCCAGACCTTGTGCAGCCCCAACCTCGGGGCCAGACCACGAGCACGGCGACCGCTAGAGGGCACGCCAGCCCCGCACACCGCCACTGCCTCCCCGCTGCAGAGCGTGCAAGCTCCCAGACCCCTTTGAGAGGAGCTGCTTTCCCCATGTGCGCAGTGGGGTGGCACATTATAGGTGCCCAGGAAAGCCCGCTCTGGTTCCAAGACCCCCTTCCTCCTGGAGTGCCCAGTACTGAGGCTGAGAAGTTCCCATGAAGGGGGCTGGAAACGATGCTATCTGCCCTCCAGAATGGGGTGAGCCTGAGGTAGTGTGTGTAAGGCACAGGGCATTAGAAAGTGGAGTCCCCGTTGTTAACATTCTGGCAGCACAAAATGTGGCCATCTGAGGATGTGGAGGATGTGGAGGCCATGGTAGGAGGCCCCAGGAGGTGTCAAGTTCCTTGTTGGATAGTTGAAGCTGAAACCAGGCAGGAACAGGACTTGGTTTCAATGTTCATTTTGCAGATGAGGAAATAGAAGCCTCATAGGTAGAGGGACTTTCCCCGAGGTCACTCAGGCAGTAGGAAACGAACTGGGACTTAACCCATGACTGTCTGACTTTGAGGGCCTATATTAGGACCATCTGCCATGAATTCCAGGGGTCTCAAGCAGATGCCAAGGTCCTTAACTCCTGGTACATCTGGGAAACTGAGGCCCTGAGAGGGCAGATTTGGCCCAGTCATCCAGTACTTCTATGGCAGAGCTGGGGCCAGGACCCAGTCCCTCCCCAACAAGGCACAGGGGTGGAACAGAGACACCCTGTCTGCCACTGTCCAATGGATTCCAGGCTCCTTGGGGGTGGGGCGGGGCAGCGCTGCTTTGGGAGCCTCAAACTCAAGGATTCCCAGCAGTGACTCACACCCCTCCCCCCAGACCTCTTTCCCAGACTCTTCTCACGAGATCCACTGCTCTCTATTTTAGGTCTCAGACAGTCAGGCGGGAGAGGGGGCGACAATGGTGGCTTTGAGGTGGTGCCACCCCCATCCTAACTCCAAGAGGGCCCAGGTCACTGAGTTGGCTCCTCAAGGACCCGTCTGGGTTGGGCCTGTGAGGCCACCACCCCATCCCTGGACATGGGTGCCGAACACAGTTCCTCAGAGCTATCTGGCCCCCCAGGCCCTCCCCATTCCCTCTGCGTAGGCAACCCTCTCCCAGTCCATGCCCCATCTGGCATCTCCCCAGCCACCTGGCTGCTCTTGCTTTACCTGGAGGGCCCAGAACCACCTAACCTCGTGCAGCCCATCACTCCCAGACCCCTGTGAACAGACCTTGTCCACCAGGCCTGGTGACTACTCAGCTGGTAGAGATGGAGCTATGGTTAAAATCTTCTCTTTTCTTTTCTAAGTAAGCTCTATGCCCAACATGGGGCTTGAACTACTCACACCCCCAAGATCAAGAGTTGCATGCTCTGCTGACTGAGTTTAAACCTTTTTGCTTGACACCAGAGTTGGTGGTTGGAACTACCCACCATGAATTCTAGGGGCCCTGGGGGCCATCCTGTCCTTGTCCTCCTGCCCTCCCACCCCCACCTTGCTCCCTGAACTCAGCCACAGGGCCCTTTTTTCCATCCCCTCCACCTTCACTCCCACTCTGGGCCTGTGCACACAGGGTTCCCCATCCTCTTACCTGCTTACCTTGGGATCTACCTCAAATATCACTCCCCCGAGGTGCCTTCCCTTGCCCATCCCCCAGACAAGTCAGAGCTCCTGCCCCAGAAATAGGGCATTAGAGCCACCGGTCTGGGTTGAACCTGAGTCCTGCCAGCTACCAGCTCTGCGATCTTGGGCAAGTCACCCGATCACTCAGTGCCTCGTTTCCTCATGTGTAAAACAAGTGTACTCACAGCGGTTGCCTTGTGAGGAGTCAGTGAGATGGTGCCATCAAGGGCACCTGGTGTGCAGCAAGCACTCAAAGAAGTGGGGGCGAGGCTGTGACCTCCACAAGCCTCAAATCTAGACACAAAGCTAAGGGGCCCACCACCCAGGGATACCTCATGATGTAGAGAGGGCCTGGTGGTTGGGGGTAGCCTGTCTCCATGCTCAGCAGGGGCTGAGGATTTGGGCAGAGGCTGCACCTGCAACAAGGGATGGTCCACGGTCCACAGGGGAAGGGAGGACATGGGTCACAGTCACCTTGGCAGCAGAAGTATTTCACTGGCCCGGGGTTCTGCCCATGAGATTAGGGGACACAGATCCTCACCTCTCCAAGAGGGTCCTCAGAGGATGTCTTCCACCCCTTGACTATATTCCTTCTCAGAGAGCCCACCGCCTTCTCTCTTCCCCCAGCCCAGATTGTCTGGGGAGGTGTTTTGTTTAGTTTTGTTTTTCTGGCCTTTCCTACTGTCACTCTATCTCTTGAAGGTGACCCAGGGTCTTATAACCAGCCTTGCCCCTCTTCACTATCCCAAATTACCTGCCTTCCCGGGCCTCTTGGTTCTCTCTGAAATTGCCATGGGTATGCAGTCACTTTAAAGAGGAAACTGGAGGGGTGCCTGGCCGGCTCAGTTGGTAGAGCATGCAACTCTTGATTTCTCAGGGTTGTGGGTTCGAGCCCCATGTTGGGTGTAGAGATTACTTAAAAGTAAAAATCTTTTAATTTTTTTTTAAATTTATTTTTAGAGAGATAGAATGCACAAGCAAGGGAGAGGGGCAGAGTAGGGGAGAGAGAGAATCTCAAGCAGGCTCCAGACCCAACGTGGAGCCTGATGCAGGGCTCTATCCTCACACCCTGGGATCATGACCTGAGCTGAAATCAAGAGCTGGACACTCAACTGACTGAGCCACCCAGGCACCCAAAAGTAAAACTCTTTTTAAAAATAAAATAAATATAAAATAAATAAAAATAAAGAGGAAACAGAGAAGGAAATGACTTGCTCAAGGTCACACAGCTAGAAAGTAGGAAACCTGAGATTCAAGTCTATGTCCAATAACCCCAAAGACTTCAGCTTATTGCTTGTACCAGACATTCTTTCAATATAGCGTGGGAAAGTTGGGGTATCAGCCCCTGCCCACCTCCCAACATATCTTACCCCTGTGACTGGGACCTCACTACCCCTCAGGACAGCCTATCCCATCGTAAGAAACTCCTATTACTGGAAGGTCCTGGATGAGTCGGAATCTGCCCTGTACTGTCCAGCAGAGTGGACAATGGGCCCAGCCTGCATCCCTGCAACTCCACTCCAGGGTCGCAGCCAGCTAGTTCTGAAAGGCTAGAAACAACTCAAAAAGGCAAAAACTGTAGAAATACATGATTGCATAGTTGAACAATGACAGCTACCCAGCCAGGGAAATGGACAGAATACAGCTCTGCATACCAACATGCAAACATCTCACAAAACATGCTCCACAAAAAGCAATGTGGCCAAAGATGCTATAGTCCAGAACCCCTCATATAAAAGTCAGGACGTGCCAAAGGCAAACCCTCCATTACTCAGGCATACATCTGCACGCACTGAAACTTGAAGAAAAAGCAGGGAGTGACAAACTCTCAAATAACTAGAGTGGTTAACTAGGGGAGAGGAGGGGAGGGGACACAGGGGCCCTGCAGTACTTGCTCCTGGTGATATTCTGGCTCAAAGCTGGGCAGTGGGCATCCAGATGTTTGTTGGATTACTCTTTTTTTTTTTTTCAATATATGAAATTTATTGTCAAAATGGTTTCCATACAACACCCAGTGCTCATCCCAAAAGGCTCATCCCTCCTCAATACCCACCCCCCCACCCCCCCCCATCAACCCTCAGTTCTCAGGATAGAGATCTCTATGTTGCTCTCTCCCTCTAACCTCTTTTTTTTTTTCCTTCCCCTCCCCATGGGTTTCTGTTAAGTTCTCAGATCCAACTAAGAGTGAAAACCATATGGTGAATCTGTCTCTTCTCTGTATGGCTTATTTGTTTAGCATCACACTCTCCAGTTCCATCCACGTTGCTACAAAGGGCCATATTTCGTTCTTTCTCATTGCCCTGTAGTACTCCATTGTGTATATAAACCACAATTTCTTTATCCATTCATCAGTTGATGGACATTTAGGCTCTTTCCATAATTTGGTGGATTATTCTTTAATAACCAGCCCTGCCTGTCCGGCCCCTGCCCACCTCTCCTGCCTGCTTCAGGCTTCCTCACCCCTTCCTCCACACCTTCTGCCCACCACCCCCAGTCCTGAGCACGTTAGTGGATCATAAAATGCCAAGGCTAGGATGTGCTTTCTGATGGTACCCCGAGAAACAAGCAAAGCCCTCTTGTAGCAAGAGAGCAGGTAGAGGAAAGGTGGAGAGTCAGACTGCCCTGCTTCCTACCAGCTTTCTAGCTCCCAGCTCTGATCCTAGAAGCTGTCATCCCAAACTGCACCTATTTCCTACTTCTGCTGAGTCAGCTCCAGGATGGTTTTTGATTTTTAAATGTTTTTTTTTTAAGTTTATTTATTTTTGAGAGAGAGAAAAAGAGAGAGCATGAGTGGGGTAGGGACAGAGAGAAAGGGAGAGAGAATTCCAGGTAGGCTCTACACTGTCAGTGTGGAGCCCCATGCGGAGCTGAAACTCACAAACCGTGAGATCAAGATCTCAGCCGAGATCAGGAGTCAGACGCTTAACCAACTGAACCACAACCACTAGTTGTACTAACTAGCTGGACTCACCCTTTCTGGAAAAGTAGGACCGCAGTGCTTTCTTCTCTCTTTTTGTGTTTTTGCTCACTTGCCTCCCAAAGGGCTTTGACTA